TATTATTTTGTGAAAAGTATTATTCTCATCAAGACATGCTTAACTTATGAAGCTTCGTGAAAATTGTTTATTAGAAAGTTGTTATTCGTGCATGAAAACCGTTGATTCACTGGGCCTTGGGCACATCCAAACTCTTTTAAAACTTTTTCATCCAGACGGCTATTAGACTGAAAAGAATAGTGGGATAAAGAGAGTTATAAAAATTAGAACCAAAGAATGATATATGCAGATCAAAACATTGTTATATAGAACAAAGTAATGTTTGTCAAAATTGTAATGTTAGATGGTGATATAATTTATAAGATTAGAGATTTTATTTCCGCTGCAATGTAAGTATTTGATCTTGGGATACTAGTTTTATTTTATTGAAGTATCAAATTTTTGGGATGTTACACAATTTAAATGAGTAGATTTAATTAAGATCAAATTCGGCAACTAACAATGTTTCATTTAATTCAACTTGAATCTAAAATTTATTAGATGACAAAGGAAGGTGAAGTCCATGGTACTTATAAATTTTAAAATTGAAAATTTGGATAATATACAAAGACTCCGTCAAAGCATGCCAGCCAATAAGTGTTAGAAATGTCGTGCAACTATAAAAAAGCATCAAAGAATATTACCCAACATGCAAATCCATCTACTCAAATAGGAAAATATATACGAACTTATGGACCGTTTATCCAAATGTTTATCCGGTAAGCATTTATCAATAGTTTTAATACATCAAAACATATTGAATACAATAATTTACTTGGTAAGCATTTATCTGGGTAAGAGTCGCCATCCTCACTTACTGGGTAAGACTATCCATCTTTTTCATCGCTCTTACCCGGTAAGATTCTTGGCCCTTCTCATATTCATCCAATGAAAAAATTTATGCATTAAACACTTACCAAGTAAATGTTTAGTAAACGACTCCTTAGATTCATTTAATGGTCAGTAATACATAAAAGTATTAATTAATTTTTGGTAGGTGGAATGACATACAAATTTAATGTCATGTTGTCATTTAACAAGGGAAGAGGTTAATGACACCCCCTACCACTTACCATTGGCACCCCTATCTCCTATATAATGATGTTTTTTTGTTTACTTTTTGTATTTTTGTCTTTTTGTTGTCTTTTTTCTTTTTTTATACTAATTTTCTTTTACTCAATTTATTTAATTGTAAATATATTACTATTATAAATATTATTTATTATTATGTAAAAATATTATTACTGAAAAAATATT